GGCTCACTCTCTTTTCACTCCTATGGGCATTAGGCAGAACTTCCCTCTTTGAATAATCCCTGCTGCAGTCTGCAAAAGCAATCCACCATGGCCATGCTTTGTTCTTTGAGATCTTATATTAATTTATTTTTGAATTGTTGTTGTTTAATAAGTGAATATTCAGCTGGTAACCTTGACCCTGAGATTAGCCTTTACACATGAACCTAGCCATTTGAAATGCTCCTTTTCTTAATTCCCATAACAGCAACTGATATTTCTTTTTAAATCAGAGTAGGTAGAGCGTTTTCTCATAAGTTTCATCACTTTGCCAAACGTAATGGTCCTTTCTTCCTTTCTCCCCTCACGTCGATGGTCCCACTCCTTACATCACTTTCACCACTCGCTTTGTCGTTCTGTAGCGCAGGCTTGTCCTAAATAAGTTCTCCCTGGGAATTTCGCTGTGTAAGCTCACAATCTTCATTACCCCCGTCATTGTGTTGTGTGTGTATGTGTTTGTGTTGGGTGTGTGTTGTGTGGTGTTTGTGTTGTGCTTTCTGTATGTTGCAGAGAACTAACTGTGAGTTGTGAAGTGATGATGGGTGGTGTTTAAGCCCACCCTTCTCTTCGCGCTCTGTTTGAAATAAAGCGACAAGAATAACGCAGGGCTACAAGAAATGGAAGCAGAGCCAGAGCCGCCAATCGATATCGGGTGCCATCTATCAAACGACACCCCTTCAAAGGGCGGAGGAATAGCCCCTAATCACTACGTGTGGGTGGGGTAGTGTGTGTGTGTGTGTGTGTGGGTGTGCGGTGGACTGTTTGTTGTGTGCTGTGTTTAGCGGGTGACATCTCACCTTCATCAAAGTGAAAATGAGAATGTATTTTTGACTCGTCGGTGTAAGAAAACTTGTCGGGAAGTTCGTGCTTGAGCCGGAGTGTGATGGAATATATGTTACTGCGTGTGCACAACTGCAAACGTGTGATTGTATGAAGTGTGCAACTCTTGTGAGAGTGTGTGTTTGCATACATGTTTGTGTCAGCATGTTTAATTAGTTGAGATGAGCAGGTGTAAACCAGTATTTAATGACAGTGACTTCATTATATCCACATGAGCTTCTTGTGCTGGTAAACACACCTCAAACATATTTTACATGTTCAACATAATCCTGTTTGTGTGTGTTTGAGAGAGAGAGAGAGGCAGTGGGTTTTACATGTTTTACTAAAAAGAAAAAGAAGGCTTGTAAAGTAAGTGGACACAATTATCACACACGTTGCCATTCGCCACTCAAACACTCATTTAGTTTGCAAATGGAGCCATTACTAATGAATCACAAGCTGCTTTAGAGTAGGCTGAGCACACAGTAATGGTTTGGCCATTCTCCAGAATACAGACACTACATAAACACACACACACTTACAGTCACACAAACACACACACGCACACGCACACACACTGACAGAGATTGAGAGTGAGTGTCCAAAAGCCCCAATTACCTTCACATCCAATGTAAGAGAACGAGTTGGGGAGCTAATTACAAGTCCCACACATGTAACTGGGACACACACACACACACATTTAGGCAGACAATATGTCACCAGTAATAGCAAGGTTCTTGTTTTTGTTTGTGATTGTTACTGTTTACAACGAGCTCATTATGGGAAATATGGTTGTCATTGTATTATTACCATAAGTCATGATTACAACCCCTGAGCCCAACAATCTTTATTATACCATCAATAAGGCTGTGTAATTGAGTAATTACAGCTTTAGACAGATTGATTTACACTTCAGTACTCTGATGGGGTTGAATGAGAGCAAATTATATTAGATACCTCCTACAGTATGCACCATATTGTCATTCCATAAAAGGAATAAATGTTTTTTTATTTATCATTCAAGTACTATCAATCTCTTTCCCCATGGTGGGTTGCCAAGACATAAATAATGCTGATTCTCTGTCTCTCCCACTCCCTCTCTATCTGGTGAGTGAGTGAAATGGCAGTGATTGGAAAGAGTAATTGGACGTAATGAGTGTGTCAACTGCCTGCTTCTTTCTCTCTTCATTAAACACGACTGGATTAGATTTACTGCACTTGCTTACTCTAACAACTTAAAGACTCCATCAGTAGGCTACTTTTCACATCCAAGCACTTTCACATTTTAACACACACACACAAACACACACACAAACACACACACACACACGGATTGGCTTAGCTCAGTAGATCAATGGCCTCTTGGTCAATGTCTCCTTTGGGAGGGTAATCTATCTGCTCCTCACTAATGAAACACTCTGATAGCAGTGTGTTTACGTGTGTGTGTGTGTGTGTGTTTGGTGTGTGTGTGTGGGTATTGGAGTTTTAATTTCTTTGTGCATTCACGGGTGTCAGATCTTGTCTAGAGCATATGGATATAGTGTCTTGTTATTTGTTCTTAGCTTAATTACAGACTTAATCTAAATGTTGTTCAAGCCACACATTTACACAGCAAGATAACTTGGATTTGTAATATGCTCCTATGATCATTTTAAAAAAGAATTACCATTATGTAAATAATAATGAAATAGCACCTTCACCTAGTATAAAGATGCTTCCACAACTACAAAAATAATCCCATGGTACAATAAAAGGTGGTGATGACACAGATGTGTAAGATTGTCTAATTTGCCTGTCAAAAACTTTTTTAATCCTAACACTTTTTTATCTGTCAGCACCTTTCTCTGAAATAGTTTTACCAAAGTATTGTTATAGTCAAGACTAATTGTCTTTGACAGGTGAGGTGTTGGTGAGGATGTTGCTGATGTTTCATCTCTTTTTTTTGTTGAAGAATGCATTCTGAAGCTCCATGCTTAAATACCAATACCGAATGTGCACAGCTAGTGAGAGTGCAACAACCCAACATGATCCCTCAAAGACAATACATTAATTAATTGCTGTCCTAAAGTGCTAACAAAAAGCGAAAATATCAATGTCTTGAACACCATGGTGGCCTGGTTCAGACGCTTGTGTGACCAGTTTAATGCAGGCCATGGATCTTGTTCATTTGTATCTACAATTATTTTCTGTATCTCATGCCCCTTGCTATTGCCATTTTCAATTACTTTATCTCTTATGTCCCTGAAAAAAAGGCCTAAATATAGTATATGCAAATAGTATTCCGTAACCATCTGAGATTTAAACAATATGTAAAATAATGCATTCATTCCCATTACCACACCAAATACATTAGCTGTATATTGTATACCTTTTATTATATCTCTAAAAGTTGTGCCACAAAATAAATCCTCAGAAGAATTCACCTGGTAACATTTTGGGGACGGCCTCCTTCATCTTGCAATTTTGTTCCATTTAAAAACCTTTTGGTTGCTTGGCCTTTACTTAAATTTAGAGTGTATTTAAGTTCAAGTAAAATATCCAAATGTTATCTTGGGGAGCTTTTCAGAAACCAAGTTGAGTGATCATTGCTTTTCATGTGAGCTCAACCTCCACAATATGTCTGACAGCATTTTACATCTGCCAATCAAAAAGCACTTAAATTCTTTCTGACAGTGTGTTATGGGTGTGTGTTACTGTTAGGGTATGTGTACGTCGTTCAATCAAAACTAATACATTGTCCTTATCAAGCGTGTTTATAGTTGTCCTGAATGAACGGCCACACGGGAGGGCAGGGTGAAAAGTCGGCAGTTATCCAGAAAGGGCAGAGGTGTGATATCTGTTAAACACACGGATAATGGTAAACAGTGTCGCCTGGAAGACATTCATAGTGTTGCAGTGACAACAAATGACTAATAGAGAGAGTTGTAACCATGGCTCTTTTCTCACCTGTGCAGAGTTGTCCAATCAGGGCGTGGAGTGGGTGTGAATGACAGTTTTGGAAAGAAATCAAAGTAGTTGGACACAGCCCCCACCTTTTTTACACTGAATAGAGATGGGAGGGGTGTCAGAAGCTATTCGACCATCCGACAAGCCCTTCTAATGAGCATACTGGCAGATTCAGGGTGTTTGCATTGTCTCGTTCCAAGGCCGCCTATATCACAGCCAGAAGAGCATAGTAGTGTGAAGTACAGTATAGGTCACTGGTTGGCAAGGGATAAAAACCCAGTACCATCTCCCCACTTCCTGCTCCGCTCTATTGGGGTCTGATAAAGTCTGGTGCTGCAGAGTTAAAGGAGGAGAGGAATAAATATTGAAAAGGTTCCAGAGATTCAGCAAATCCATGAGGGCTATTTCGAGAATGTTTTTTTCCCTGGTTTGTTTATTTAAACTCTGCAAGTTCTCTCTTAAACAGCCCACTCAAAAGCAGATTTAAGAGCAGCCTCTTTTATGATTTGTTTTTAAATGATGAAACTGTCAAATGGTATTCAGTGCAGCAGAAAGTGCTTCGCTTTGCTTCCTCTTGTAGATCTACTACACATTTCCATTCAAAGCTGTCAACAACCACCTGGACTGGCTTACAATTAATGAACAAATACACATTTCGGTCCATTTCATGAATGTTTACTGTATAAAATATGAATGGTTGCAATTTAATGTTTTTATTTTTGTATTAATTGATGCACTAATCTTAGCTCATGTCATTTGCATTGAGCAATAAGTCAATGTGTTTCTGTGACTACTGTCATTATATAAAATGTTTGAATGTATTTTTTGGAAATCTGTGAAGGAATGACTTGGGAATTATATTACACCTTTTATTCTATCTAATAATAGAATAGAAGAAAATTGAATGTTTTTTGTTTTCACCCTGCTGAACGGCCTGTGTAGTAATAGTGGTACTTCTATGGGCAAAGAGGAAAGACATTGCAGCTAAAAGCGCATCATGCCTGTGTGTGAGATGACATCGACTCTAGAACTTTGAAATCTCTTTTGTTTTACCTCGCACATTCTACTGTGAAGTGTCTTGAAAGTTGTTCCGCTACTGCTCTCAACGGTAAACTAATCTGAATCTCTTTTCTCTCTTTTCCTCTCGTTCCTCTCCCTCTCCTCTGTCTCTCTCCTTCTTTCGCTCCTTCTCTTTGCAGTTTGACGTGTTGAAGTGCTTCTTAAGGTAAGAGAGAGTGTAATTTCATGTTTTCCCTCTCTTGTTCTTTCTTTCTCTGATTTTCTTCCCATAAAACACAGCATGCCATCAGCACTTGGCACAGTATGTGTATCACGGAACAATCTGCGTCCTCAAAATGTATTTGGCTCAGGATCCTGCTCACTGAAACACAATAACATTGTGTTAAAATAACAAAGAGACACTCTGGGTAACACTCCCACTGCACTCCCCTGGTAAAGCCATGATCACAAATGCACAAGACTGAACCAGCAGCCATTAGGAGAATCTATATGGGTCTAATACAGCATATGTGATACATTTACATCCTTCCATTAGTTATTAAATGCTCTAAATCAGTAAGATATATAAAGCGCTGTGTAGTCATTCTGCGCAGTACACACAAAGAGTAATAATATACAGTAAATCCTCTTCCACGCTGCCTTGGAAGTGAATCATCCTGTCACAAGCTGTTAGTCATAACCGGGTCTGTTTGCAAAAAAAAAAAAAGAAAGGGTAAAAAACAACTTGTTTTATAGTTTTTAAAAGGCAATGCCACGGTTATTGTTTATTTGTGGATTACAGGTTTTAGCCTTAGTATATCTCAAACATATTACTTTCAGACTCGGGTGCTCTGTAATAATATCAGCAGACTCACAATACTTCTCAGAAGAAAATTAAATGTGCTACAGCCGTACAACTTGGCCTGACCTTGTGTTTGACATGCAATTATTATCTGACTGCAGTGTATCAGTGTGAGCATGGGCCCATATTGTGAGTGCATGCAGTGCTTTTCTTTTTTATATAATCTTTGTGATTTGATAAGAAATATTTTTCATTTTAGAGCTCAGTGGCTCAGCTTTGGCTATCGTGCTGTGAAAAACATTAAATAACCCCTAATTTGTATAATTTCCTCCATGAATTTGGAATCTCCATGTTTGTACTAGTGTTTTCCTTCTTAAATGTTTTTTTTTTTTTTTTTTTTAATATTTTGAGATTTGAGAGCAGGGTATACTTGTACTTTTACTTTTACTAGTCCTTTATTAGAGATGTGTCTGTTGTTTGTGTTTATTTTTAGTGTCAGGATGGAACCCTTGTCTTTTTCTCTGCAAACAGAATCTACCTACGGGTACAAATAAATAACCTGAACCTGAACCTGAACCTGAACCTGAATGGAGCTTCTAAAAACAGCTGTAAATAAACATATATTTTTTTAGTTTTTTATATGATTGTTTTTGACAAAATAAATAAAATACAAAACGTTATGTTTTAAAGGCCTTCCACCTCCATGATACAAGAACGCCTAAAACAGACAGCATAACAACAACCTGAAATATGATAGAAGACAACACTATCGGAAATGTGGACCCATGGCCCTATCAGAAAGTTGCTATCAGAAACAATGACCGACTGTTTTGGAAGTAATATGGTCTGTGTTTACATTAGCAAGCTAATTTAAAACAGTTCTGTGTGACACAAAAAAAAGGGGGAAATCGTGTTGGTGAACACGAATCAATAGATTACATTTCGTGACTATAACATGAAATGCCGTGGGACTGGGTTGGACAGACTGGTTAAGTTGTGTTTGTGCTAGCTTGGTGCAGGGGATAGACATGTGATGTTAGTTTCGGCAACAACAACAAAAAATGATCTGACTGAATAATTTCACAGTTGTCTTGTGTACATATTGTGTGTTCTTAGCTTTCTATGCTAACGCTAACAGTATCACCATAGTTCTGACTGAGTTGAGGGCTAGCCTCTACTGGAGAGAGTATGTGTACAAAAGCAGGAAATAAAAAAAGGAACTCACCTTGTGGTAAACCCACAAGAAAAAAAGCATTTGAGCTCCATACTGTTTCAGAAAAATTCTTGATGTTGTTTGGAACATGATATGGCTTTTAATCACGGCAGCATTTAGCTTTATCTCTGGTAGAAATCTGAGCAGGCATTAGCTCCCCCTCCTCTTTTTTTTTTTTTTCAAGCTAAGGTCCCCGAACCTGCATTTCTCTAATGGCGCATTTCCACTACAGCGCGGTTTAAGCGTGCCGTGCCGTGCCCGGCCCGTTTTTGGTTGCGTTTCCACTAGGTTTAGTTCCGGCTAGCGCAGGGGTCTGCAACCTTGTTGACCAAAAGAGCCATTTTGCTCCTTTTTCCAAAACATTTTTTTGTCTGGAGCCGCAAAACATATTTCATAGTTTTTTATTGTTATATCAGACAAAAACTACCGTTTTTTTGCATTTATTAGGCTATTTATTACATGATATAAAACTGTTAACCTCTAATAAGAAACAAAGAACTCTTATAAGGAGAATAAAAAATAATACACAGGCCTACTTTAAAATAAATTAAACACAGCACTTGTGGAGTCCTCTGCACATTTGAAGGAAAAAAAATATTATTAAAATGAGCCCACTTTGAAATAAATACAACATATAGCTGCACCCTAAAAAGAGTTAAAGGTAGGTAGGTAAGAATGGAGAAACCAGCTCGAGTGCGCTAGAATTTGAAAGTACACAACCGGAAAACATCTGCCTCTTCCTTCAGACTTTCTTACAGAGTCCCTCCTCCAACACACACGAACGCGCACATGACCAATGAGGGCACGAGATAAGTTTGTGCACAGATGGAAGGCTGACAGGCAGGTAGGCCATTCAGTTACTTTAGCCGGGCCGGCTCAGATGATTGGTCGTGCTTTTTACAGCGCGACGGCTTCCAGAGATTAGTTTTTGTATGTATTTATTGTCAAAGCATTTAATATATTCATTGCTATCGGGACGTTAAGAGCATTCCATGGAATATAACAAAAAGTGTTTTCTGAAATAAATGACATACCCCATTGAATTATGACTGAAGATCGTCAGTTGTCTTCCTCTCCCTTGTTGTTCCTCGATACGTAAAGGCTGCACCACCGTTGACAACTTCTCTCTACATATCAAACATACCGGTAAACCAGCATCGTTTGCTGTGAAAGCATATAACTCTGTCCACACAGAATTAAATCCTGTGTTCCTCCGGTACTTTTCTTTGATTTATCCATAGTTCGCTCATCGAGCCGGGGGTCAGGTTATTCGCCTCCAAGAAAAGGCGCTCGCACGGGACCGTAGCAGGATGTGACGCATATTTTAGTTGACCTAATAAAACCGTTTTGTTTTTTATTTATGTGTCACTGTATCACCTCAAAATACAAGATACGAAACATTTTCAACCATGCAACAAAATATAAATAGTCCTACAAATACTTTTATTTTATTCCCTTCTTATTTTTGTCTAAGCTCAAGGGAGCCAGAGCAGAGGGCGTAAAGGGCCGCATGCGGCCCGTGGGCCGCGGGTTGCCGACCCCTGGGCTAGCGGTTACTTTTTCACAGTTTTGTGGCTCTCCAAAATCGAGGTTCTTTCCGGGCCAACAACCGGCTGAGTATGCTAAACTAGTGAGAGAATCGCTGGCAACTACAACAAAATGAACATATTTTACCGTGATTTAATTGTATACACGTTTCAAAATAATGCCGAAATAACAACAACCAGTTAGTAAAAACCATGAATTAATGCTTTGACAAGTCTGCAGACAGACGGCAGGCGAAAAACTTTTTAAATGCGTGTTTTCTGAATGGAGATCGGCTAAGCTAACGCAGTATATGCTCCGACCGTCCACACTCACAACAACGGCCTATACAGACATAAATAAACCAGCGACTGCATTCGCCATGACACAGGCAGTCTGTGGTTTGTACTTGTTTAACTTGTGTCTACTTTCTGAACAGATATGAGGAGCTGTGAGCTCTGAGTGCTAACAGCTAACGGCTGATGTTGGTTTTCTGTTTCGCATTGAAGATGACGTCACGGCTCCACATACACTGCGTTACTATAGTTACTACCCCAGTTCCTGTAATGGAAACGCAGCATAAAGTGAACCTGGCCTACCAAGGCCTAACTATACCGTACTAAGCCGTGCAAGGCCCGGCAGTGGAAATGCGCCGTAACAGGGCTGGAATAGAGGGATATGAGGGATTTCTAAAATGCATGATCTGTTTGGTATCAAACATATCATAGACATGTTTTTTATATATTTTTATATCTGAGACAAATAATATATGCCTAAAAATAGCATAATAGGAGACCTTTAAAGGTTATTTTGAATTGTTATACTGTAGTTTACTGTATAGTTATAACTGCATACATTCATAAACAAAATTAATATAAGTTTGCTACAGCAATTAAAAACGTTTGGCTCAAAAAGATTGTTAATCTTGCATTTTAATAAGAAATCCTGCCACATATCAATTTAGCTGTGATACTGTAATTATAGCTGAATTTAGTCCAAATCACCCACACCTACCTCAGAACCAAGGATTAGTAGAAAAGGATGCCAAAGAAGTTAAACATAAAAGTGCACCACAATTGTATCTGCAAGGCTTTTACCAAACACATGCCATGCTAATGTGCGCCTTATGGTTCGCTTTAGTGCCCAAGGTTGTGCTTCAGATTAAAAAATGTATTTGATGTATGTGTGCTTGTCTGCAAGTGTGTGTGCGTGAGCATGCGTCTACAGTCTCTGTCTCCTTCCTTGTGTCTGTCTGCTTCCTAGTGTTTGGAGTAGGCTCGGTGGGACTGTGTGTAGAGCCTCATTAGTGGCTAAGGTTTGGCTGGCCGTTGCTGCTGGAGACTTACTCGGGGGCACAAAGTCATATGTTACTCTATTGCTGGCCCATCTGCCACGTTGGCTCTATTGAGAATCTAACTTTTGTTTCTGTGCATGTGCATTTCTGTTAGCAGTGGTTGAAGGTTACTCAGTACATTTAAATGTATCTACCTATAGTTATGATGTACTTATTGTACGACCTTGAGCACCAAAGCAAAATAATATGTTATTATTTAAGTCAATAGAGTAGTGCAGTGATGATGTATTTTTGTAGGCCGACCCGGAAGTAAGCTGCGCAAGGGTTCCCTCGACAAAAAAGCAACGGGATTTCTCCATAGGATTTTGGAATATTGTAAAAAATGAGATCTGT